AGAACTTTACTTCTGGCGTTTGCCCTGCATGGTATGTTTGCCCAAGACAGTGATGAGCACTTTACACTATTTTAAGCTGACTACTGTACAGCAAATGGAGAAAGATGGACTGGAAGCCTAAGCAAAAGTATTGTCATTAAGAGGCTTGAATATGACACTTACGGCTCACCTTTTGTCATTCAGTTCCCCAAAATCAAACACAGGTGATTGAACCTTAAAACGCACATGAGAATTAATTCCCCTGAGGAGGGAAAAGGGGACCTTACATTTGTGGAAGGGAAATTTTCTTCCTGAGTGTGGGCATATATTCCAGCAGTATAGGAGAGCTATAGGTAACTGTGATTTCTGTAGTTCAGAGTAATAAAAATGATAGTAATTGGTAGGCCAGAGACAAAGAATCTATTTATTTAAAACCTGTATAAGACATATTCAAATAGAACTTCAAATCAAACCAACCATACTTGGTTTCATCTATTCTTATGGATGAAAAACCGCAAATGTCTTCCAGTGAATCTTCTAGTTCATTAATATCCCCAGTAAAATTAAGGTGGGTATTTCATGAACTTTTACATACTTTACATGGGCATAATACAAAGCCATGATTTCATGTGGTCTCATACGGGGCTGACAAATCTGAAATCTATTTCAAATCTAACACTATAAAGTGAAGCCAAGTGTTGCAAAACAGTAAACCAGTCACTTAAAGATGGAAAATATCAGCATAAATTCCTGAAAAATTAAACTTCCAAGGTTTCAACACCTTTGTGATTTCAGAAACAAGTAGTACAATAAAAATAACTCATATCCAGCACAAGCCGAATATGTATTCCCCAAACTTGCTGAACTTCAACTCTTACAGATGCAAACTGCTTGAGACCCAAGGCAGTTAACCATGTAAGGGAGTCTCACAAATAGAGGGTCCTAAAACTGTAAGGCCTTAGGCAGCTGCTTAGTTTACAAATCAGTGTTTTGTCCAGCTGTGAAAAATATATGGGAAGAATTATGAAACCAGCATTTGCTTTTATCTGTTTGCGTACCAAATTCCCATGTATTTTTACACAAAATTTCTCTGATCAATATCTTAGTGAAAGCGAGTGATTATAGTCAATCAGGCATGCAATGAGTAACCAGGGTTTACTAACCATTTATAACCTCTGCTGGCTTTATTTTATTCTTAGATGCTCTAAAATTAATCTCATTAATAGAACAAAATTCAAGTTTAGCTACTTGGTCCATACACTATGAGCCATGAAACGTGGTTCAGCATTTGTGACAGACATTATTTTGTTATTTTAAACACTAAGTTCACAATTACTTATCATTACTGTTTTTTCTGTTTTCCTAGCGTTTAAGTAAATCACATATTTCAATAAATCACTGTTTCATAGAGTTTAATGGCATGAACTACTTTTTCATGCTGTTGCACAGAAGCTTATGATCACATGCCCTTAGCAATACAACATTTGCTCACAGGAGAAGGCTAAGTATTTCCTGGACGTTTGTTTTTTTGGTGTATGTCAGTGGCAGGAAGCAGAAGACAACACATAGGCATTTGCATCTTACAGGAAGAATTTCGCTGGATCCCAGTGACTGATAGGTCAAATTGTGAGAATCGCTGACCTGCTCATCAAGTAGAGTTTATAATGTAGAAATAATATATGTTTACATACTACCATTCTTTGTCCAGATTACTGTCTTTGAGGATAATGTAATTGTAGTCCAGCTTTTCCCAGTGTTCCTGACCTGCAATAAAATTTCTTTTAGCTCCCATTATGTTAATCAGAAAATAATGTTAGAAATGGTGGGGAAATGAGTAATCAATTTAGCAAATCCACAGCCATATCGACAGGTTTGTACTTACATTACCATGCTCGCAGTTTCAGTAATACTAAGTCCTGGTCAGAACTGTACATAACTGCATGAAAATTCTGACTTTGGATACTCTGTATTTTCAAAACATTTTGATTTGGATTCTGATTTGTACTTCACCTCTGACTTAAGTCTAAAATTGTGAAACTAAATCTCTGATTTACAATCAAAATGGAAATTTCTGACTATTTCTGGTCGCTTATCCTTTATCAATATGGAAACCAAAATAATAGAATATGAGCAAATATGACAGAACAGAAAAAGGAAAAATATCTAAAAGGCTGTTTTATTGCTATGTTATTATTCTGCATTTGCAGATTTCAGCCTTCCAAAATCTAAATAAATACTTAGGTTCATGAGAGACCAAATACAGTTCTTTTACACATCTCCAGAAAAAAAAAAAAAAAAAAAAAAAAAAACCTCAGTATATTTAAATTCTAATTGTATTTCATAAAGAATCACTGGAAAGATCACAGTGCACCTAATAGTTATATAAGTCACTGTATATTGCAAGTCAGTTTTATTTGGGGTGATATATTACTGAAAATGTATCAGTCTGGGTTAGACAGAGTTTTGGAAACTATTAAGCTGGTAAATAGCAAACTGATATGACATTAGAATATACTAATCCATTCCCAAAACCATGCAGAAGACACTGTTTATGACAGTGATTTCAAACAATCATAACAGTCTTACTTCACCTAGAAGCTGAAATTGTTGTATTTCACCTACATTTTTCTCATGTGTTCAGTATTGCTTGAGCTTGTACTTACTGTACGTACTCTAACCTAATTCTCTTGCAAAATAAAGGAACTTGTTGTTTAAAGAACATGCACATAGAACATGTGATGTGAATTGGAGTGAGGTTGTGATTTATACAGAGACTGAACATTATAAATAAAAAAGTTATCGTATGTATGCAGTATACGACCCCTAATTTGTGATCTAGATTGTCATATTGAAAGAAAAAGGAAAACAAAACAAAAAAACAAAGAATGCTTTGCCTGCAGATATTGTGGTGCTGCTTTTCCCACTGTGAAATAGTTTAAGTCAAAAGTATTTAGTATTATACTGTTTCTCTTCCACACATTACAGCTTTCAAATTCTCAAATTATAATGCTATTAATCGCTAAAAAAGCTCTTTAAAAAATATCCACAAGACTCTTCTGGGTATTTATCCTTATTTGCATTGTACATAATTTGTGCAGAGAAACATATCTCCAAAGGCCTCTTTAGAATTGTCTTGAGCAGTGTATTTCTCTAGTTCAATCAAAAAAATAATTAAAAGGAATAAAAAAAGTCAAAATAATTCAATACATCATTAAATGATCTAATACAAGCAAAGGTTCTAACCAGATTCTGCTAATCTACTCAGGGACAGAAAAGCCTTTATAAGAATCTGTCAAATGACAAATTTTACACCTTATATGAAAGAGAGAACAAAGCCATGCTGTGATAAAACCAAAACCAGAAACTGAACTCAACCCTTGGGCTCAAGCTTGTAAATACTACCTGTATGAGAAAAACCCACAGGAAGAAGTTACAGCAAATTTGCTTGCGTGTTTGCTTGTTCCTAAAACAGAATAAGTGTTTTGAGAAGCCCAGTAAACTGCTGCAGTGTAGTACATGTAGGCTAGCATTATCAGATGGGCCAAAGAAAAGTAGGCTTCCCACACTTGTCTACGTTCAGTAGGAACTAGGCTCAGAGCTCCCTTGGACATCTTTGAAAAACTTAGTAATGTCTTTGAGACATGCATCCGTTTAAAAGTTAATACTCATTTAGAAATTCAGTTCACATGTAGATAATTGAAATATCACTGTTACTTAGAAGCTCTTGTGTATGTGACAGAGAACTAAGTCTTTTATGGTAACTACTATGTATGCAACATCTCAGACCATGTATTTACAAAAGGAAGCAGTGTTCAGAGATCTGGGATTTAGTTTAATCCCCATTTTTGAAGGGAAAAAATTACTAAAGACAGGAACATAAATACTACTTGCTGCACTTACAAACATAGTTGGCCAATACAGAGAAATCTGAAAACTTGATGAAATGAGCATTTGCTTTGAGTTCTTTTTGCTTTCATTGTGTGTATTCTTGACAAGAAGATAAATGTGCTTTTTGGATCTGCAATGGAATCCAGTGTTCGGTTTAATATTAGATTCTTTACCAAAAAAAGCTTAAACATGATTAATAGATTTTTTTAAAAAAAATAACTAGTTATTAAAAGTGCAACACTATTATGGACTGCTTATAATATCATTATTACTTTATAGAATTAATGCCTGTAACCATCAATAACATTCATCCTTTTCAAGTATACAACACAGTTATAAAACCTATTAATCATGCATTAACCTGTTATAATTGAAACTTTTATTTATAGTGTAACCAAATTAAATTTATGGTTTTCACCTCAAGTAATATGTTTCAAATTCTGAGTAATATGTTTCAAATTCCAAGTGTTTCAAATTCAAGCTCTGAGACTTGGTATATAAGACATCTAAATACTCATGTCCTTGATGTGGGAACATTTCAGTTTAATTAGTCTAGTTCTGAATGTTTTTATTCTGATAGCATACTTGTAATACAAAGTCATGTTTTTAGAAATAATTAAATGTACCATTGTTTTCATAGCTTTTTAAAAAGAAAAAAAAATGGTAAAATATAATTTCTCAAATATAAATACTTCAAACATTTTAGCATTCTGTTTCCCCCCTGTAAATAGCACAGCCATTTGCCAGTGTCTCTTCTGTTTTACAAGAAAACACACTTTAGTCACTAGATGACTTTTTTGTTAGCAGTCAATGATGTGACGCTGGAAATGATTTTGTAAAGAACACTCTGAGGTGGAAGGTGTTTGGGTTTGTTCCTCTTGATATATGGTTTCACTGGATAATGTTGTTTAAAAAGACAGACAAGATACAAAAGCAAAGCAAAACAAAAAGACCTCCCTGGGACTGAAATACTTTGTATGTGTTGTTATTTGCAGTGCATGCCAAGACATTCATGGGCACCAGAGCCAACCTGGCGAGCTAATTAAATATATAAATGTATGTGTTTAAAACAGCCTTATAAGGAGCATTGGAAATCTGCAAGATGAGCGAATATCTTATAACTTCTTCCGCAGGTGCGAGGATAGCTACAAGCCATGGACTTTCTGTCCTGCTTCTTGTTTGTGGCTTTGTGAAGGGTGCTTTGCTTTAATCTAAAAGTGCTGACTTTTTCCAATATCACTTTCTCTTCTTAAAGCAAAGAGCAAATCGCCTGTAAAATCCACGGAGCGGACAGCAAAGTTGACCCTACCCTCCAACCACCACTCTGCACCCAATGTACTCTAAATCTCTACACAAGGAGCACCTTCTTCAGGAAGTACAAACAAAAATACTAAATAAAATAAATAAATAAATAAATATTATAAAAAGAAGAGGATACCACATGTTTTCTTGATATATCTTATTTTCTTTGACGTATCACTGATCTTTTATTTGAAGAGAACTGGTGTGATGTAATCAAATGTTTTGTAACAGCAAGACCTAGTTTCCTTTTCTTTCGGCAAGGAGAAGCCTCATCCTTGACTTCTTAGGGGTTGGCCTGCGAGTCATCAGTATTACAGAATTAACCGTGGATGACATTTGGTTTTCTACGCTGAAAGAACCGTTCCAGCCTGGAAGCAAACAGAGGCCAAATAATGAAACAAAACATAGTGATTTGACATCGACCCCAATAAAACACCCCCCACAAACTTTATGAAAAAAAGTGTTTTTTTTCTTTCCTTTTTTTTTTTTTTTTTTTTTTTTTTTTCATGAGGAGTGGAGAGGAGAAAATAAATTCTACAAAACAGCTAAGCAAACTAGAGGATGTTGTTTATGGAAAACAAATAAGGACACATTTTTCTTTTGAATTGTTTGGGATTTTTTTCTTATTATCCTTTTTCCCTTGTGGGTATTTTTCCTGTCTTTTTTTGTTTGTTTCTTGTTCAATGGTGGCAATTACTGACTTAGGCCAACCCCTGATGATTGCGTGGAGGTTTATATATATATACATCTTCTTTTTTTTGTGTGCGTTCTATATTTCAGTGTGTTTTCTCTAATTTTGCAACTCCTGTATATGCAAAACTAACAAATTCTGTAAATTGCTTACAGTCTGTGTGATATAACTTCAGAGTAGACATACTTTGGTCCTCATGCAAGCCAATTTTTGATATTACCTATATGTCGTGCCACCAATGGAAAACTTTATTTCCTTTTTTGACAAAACATCATGTTTTAGTTTGTAATTCAGTACCGTGTGGATTTTGTAATACATACCTTCACTTCCACTGGTTTGACCCCTTTCAGCGCTCTGTTTACTCTGTAAATGCACATTAAAATTTGTTATGGTCTCTAGACAATGAATTATTTCAGTTTTGTGTATGTTGTGTTGGAGTTCAGATACTGAAAGCTCTTCTAACTTGTGATGTTTATAGAGGATGAAGTGATTTGAGCACTAGAGACCGTAAAATGCAGGTTCTCAATCAAATACTGCATGTAAAGGAAGGTTAAAAGGGAAAAACAGACAAATAAAACAGAACATGGTTTAAAGGATATTCTTTTGGTAAGGAGTTTTAGGAAATTAAATTTATTACACTGATAAACTATATTTGCATTACAGCTCCTTCTACGTGGCCAAAGAAGTGTCTTTGCTTTTTCTGGAAGTGGATTGTCATTACTCATTGATATTCTTCATTAAAATACTTTATGTCTGTGAACTGAACGTGGGAATTTTGCTGTTGAATGAAGTAATATGCATTACATGAATTACATTCATTAATGCAGGAAGTAAAAATTGCTACCATTTGCAGCTGCAATCAGGAAGGTTTTTTTTCCTTTTCCCCTCCTTCTACTGATGCTGAACAATCCACACCCTTTCATTTATCAGCACAATCATGTATACCACATGCTTATTATGATCTATATACAGCAGCATTAAGTAGCTGCAGCATGGTCAGCTGTGTGATTTCTCCTCATTTTGTAAGTAATGCAGAAGGAAGTAAAAGAAGTATGTTTAATATCTCACTAGTCCATGGCCTACAGGCCTAATATTTTATTTCAAAATGCCCATAAGTCTGAAGTCTTCCACCATTAATTTCAAAGGAGAAAGAACAAATAGTAGCAGAGAATCAAAGGGTAACACACTAACGGTTTGGAAGAGGATAAAATATTTGTGGAAATCTCATTTCCCTTAACCATACAATCTGGGAATAGCCAGTCTTTCTTTGGTTTTAGAAAAGTCTTAGCAGTAATAAAGAGAGTAGAAGTTTGGTCTAATACAGACAAATCAGGAATAACTGTCAGGATAAAAAGGGAAAAATTTCTTTTATTTCAACATAAAATTAATGACCCACTAGGAATATTGTGTATTGAAAAGGTTTTGCTCCACAGTAATAACAGTTTATTGGCCTACGGACAAAGGAAATAGAAACAGTCCTTGTTTAAGTGTTGTGGATTAAAGAGGAATGAAAAAAGCTCCAGAGCTTGTTGAAGTCTCTGAACACACCTATGGAACCAAACTTTCAGACCTCCAGAGGAAAGGTTACATTTTCCCTGTGAAATTGATATTTGTGACTGGATGCTGTGAGAATCTCCTGTGTGGAGTTTAGAAACCTCAGTTTCCATTGGTCTTATCTGGAACCAAGTGCTTAACGTCACATGTGTTTCATATGTTTACTGTATACATATATCTTGTATGAATGTTCTGTGTATGCACATAGTCATATAAACAACCTGCAGCGCATTTTTCAGAAGCAGTTTAGCCTCAAATTGTTCAAGTTAGCCTCTGATTACTAAATTAAACTGATACTGTATTTCGCTTTATGCTATTAGCTGCTTAGATAAGAATCACCATGTGCTAGGAAGTAAGATTAAAGAACCAGCTGAAATTAAAAGCAGAATTCTAGACCTCTTGGACTACTGTGATACAACTCAGAAGACATTACCAAGGAAAGTGCTGTACTGTGATCTGCTATTGTTCTTCAACAGTGCCAGCAAAAAAATGTGGACAAAAGAAATCTGTAGGACTTTTGAAAAACCTTTAAATCTTGCATGAGATATTAAGGAGATACAGTAGCTGTCCTCCTTCCCCCCTCCTAAGATAATAAACCAAAATTCTTCAGATGAGGTTGGTCCAGCCTTTCTCGTTGCAAATCTAGAGCCTAGCTTTAGAGTTTCTGCCAATCTGTGTGGATGCAGCAGCAACATCTCCTAACAGAAGAAAGTATTGCATTTCTAAATTATATACTGTGTCTTAACAGCCGTTCTTCAAATCAGGAATCTGCCTGAAGCTCCAAGAAATTCTCAAAGTGGAAGTTACACTGCAGTAACACCCCTTTTTCCTAAGAATTTAGTTATGGATAGTATTTGGTATAGGAATGGGACTACTGCCATTTTCTGCCCTGGCCCAGTTCTAGTTTGGATTTAACAGTAATAGAGAAAAAAATGGCTTAATGATATGCTTAAAAGCTTCATTCAGTTAGGTATCTAAAAGGGCAAATTACATCTAGTAGTGACAAAATCTCTCAAAACCTGATGTGCTTAACCTTTCTACAGAAATAGTCTGTTTCGAGGTGGTCATTTACATGACTCTTGCTTCTCACTTGGTGTTCCCAAGGCCTCATTGCATATGTGGCTTTCTTCAGATTATTCTAACAGTTTTGCTTTAATAAAAGAGTAAACATGGATGAGTATTAAACACTTTTGTATTTCAAAGCATATGCCGTCTAAACATTGGACAGTTTCAGGATTCAGCTGGACAGGGTGCTGGGCCATCTTGTCTAGACCGTGCTTTTGCCAAGAAAGGTTGGAACAGATGATCCTTGAGGTCCCTTCCAACCTGGTATTCTGTGATTCTATGATAAATACAGGTCACACACTTTGAGATGTTATGTTTTGTAAAGCTTAAAGAAACATGTTCCAACTCCATTGAATGTCAATGACAGCTTTTGTATTACATGGAAAAAAGATCTGTAACACTTTTGAACTGCTATAGTATGAGTACTGCTACCTATCCCATAAATTCTCATTCTTTTCAATGGTTACCAATATTATTTTAATTTCTGGAACTACATGCTGCACAACATGTTTGAACCTTCCTTTCTTAATTGCCTTTTGTAGATTCTTCAAAGAAATTTATGGAGCAGCAAGCAAAAAGCTTGGCAGGCTAATTTAAGGTTGATTATTTGTTCCTCAGAATTTCTGTTAAGAAAGGTACCAGAAAATTTGAATGATAAACACTGAATCTGTCATGAATTATTGTTATTTCTTTTTCATTCTCAATATTGGATATTTATGTTACAGCACTACCCAAAGGCAAAGATCAGCAGGAGGTATAAACATACAAGGCATCACGGCAAAAGCAATAGGACTGCTTGGAGGTTCATACCTAAGCACATAATTCAGTGCAGCTGTGATTTAGGATCAGAACACACCCTAGAAACAGTTTTTCTCACATTCATTCTGGAAAGTATTTTTGTTTCATTCAATTAAGATGAGGAAACATGAATGCTTGCCTAATATTTTTCAGTACAAACATTTAACTTCTAATGATCTCTACAGTGATTACATCATTTAATTCACCATTTAAAAAAAAAAAAAAAAAAGAAAAAGGAAAAGAAAACAATTCAAACCTTTGTTATTTGCAGGATGGGGGAACATTTGTCCATGACATTACTATTGGTAAATGTCAAATGTTGTTTACAGAGCTAAAAGCATTAAGAGCCCAGAATGGGATCAACATACTTTGCAATATAAATTTTTAAAGGTTAATCTTCCATGATTAGCTTAGCTAAATAATGCTAAGCACAAAGTAAATTGCTTAATGCAAGTCACCATAAATGGCTTCAGTCTTTTGTTCTGAGCTTCCTAAATATTGATTTATTTGATTTAAGAGTCACAAAGTTTGCACATATATTCACATATTTGAAAGATTATACATAGTTTTCATGGTGCTCTTAGTCTAAACAATACATGAAGACAATAGCACAGAAGAAAGTTAAATTTGTCTGTAATAATGAATTGCAATCAGTTGGTAGAGTTACTTGCACAGAAAGAGAAGTATGCTTTCTTGAGAGACAAGTTATCGCAATCATTTCTTCTTTTTGTGCTATTCTTTTTTTTGCCAATGCTTCAAGCTAAAACACAAGACAATACTGGTTTTCTTACTACTCACTTCTTAGAAGGTGACAGAGGGGAAAATAGTGTTATCTTTGTTATGAAGGAAGCTGGGCAGAAAAAGAATCTTTTCATTTAACAACAACCTGAATGTTTAGTGTCAAATGACCTCAAAATATCTCTGCTTGCAGGTTTACAGGGAAGAAGTAACAGAGAAAGTGTTTCAGCTTTACTTCCCAGTTCTAAGCGTTCTCAATTAATTGTCATCCCACAGCTAAGGACAGGACTCTTCTGTAAGTTTCAAAACCACAGTAATTTTCCCTGTAACTACCAGTGACAGCTTGGTTTGAGTTTTGAAATGATAAATATTTGCAACTCAGAATATTTTTCCATACAGTTATAAATGTTACAAGGAATGGCAACTATTAAAGCCATAAACAAGTTTAGAAAAATATCACAAACTAGTAATCTCTCAAAAGTTTCAAAATATGTCAAACACTTTAATCAAAAAAAAGGCTTTTGTTGGGATTTTCTTTTAAATTTTATTATAACCCACTGTTATAAATAGAGCTACAAATACTCTGGATTTGAATTCCAACTA